CCCCAGCTGTTGGATTCGTTTTTTGTGTTGGGTGACGCTCGTTGGTTGGCGCCCAAAAAGAAACCTACCACTTTGGTGGCCCTCTCATTGCGAGACAAGCGCATTTGGGCTCGCAAGCCAGGTTAAACATGGGGCTCAACCACCATGGTTTCAACAACCTGTGCACAAGCAGGCTGTTCAGGTTCATTCTCACAGCAAAACCACAGCCTTGAGCCCTGTCCCACGGCTCTCCTTGGCGAGGCAGCACGCTGGCACCGTGAACAGTCTTGCCAGCGCCGACGCACCTTCCATCGGACAGGGCGTGGCGGTGCCCAGGACGGGGAGTCGTTTTGGGTCGCTTTTGGTCAATCGCTTTGCTGGCCCAAGTAGCATGTCTTGGTTGTTTTTTTGTCGTTTTTGTTGGTCCATCTATGTAAAAACCCTGTCTCCAAGTCTAAACAACAGCATCTCTTAAAGGCTGAACTTTCCAACAGCCAAAGCAAGTCAGGAAGGATCTAGGTAGGATTTCACAAGCTCAAAACCAAACATTTGGAAAGTGCTGATTTAGATCTAAATTGACTCCAGCCGCAATAAAAGAAAGGCGGCTTCCAGCTGCAGCTTAGGTGAAGAATTGGTCTACAAGCAGATTCCCAGGGTAGGGCTGTTGTCCAGGAAAACCAACCCCAACTGTTGAAATTGGGGACCCCCTAAAGCCTTTTGATATCCCCTTCAACCATAAAACAAGTTGCCCTCCAAAAGACAAACCCATTTGGACCAAATTAACCCTGTGCCCAGAATTTCTCACATGCTCCTGCGGTCGCTGCGTGTCGCTGGCATGGTTACATGTTTTTGTGCTCGGCCTCACTCCTTAACCCCGCCCGCGCTTAAGGCAATTTCCGAGCCGTGTGGGCGTATTCTTTCCCAATACCGTAGGCTTCTTCGTCGCTGCACCAAAACGAGCGGACGGCAAGACCGCTGTCCAGCAAGGGGAATACTCATAGGTCTCGAAGGGGATCCCATGGGTGACGTTCCATGGGCGTCCCTGAAAGGTACCCACAAACAGGGCTGCCTTGAAAAGGAGCTGGAGACCCGGTTATCGCAAAAGCTTATCGCGAAAGTGCCTAAACCAAGGTTTCGCCGAAAGGCCTAAGAAAAAGTACATGACGATGGCCACGTTTTGCACATTCCGGCGAAAGCAATTCTAAAGGAAACAAAACCCGGAAAAGCAAACGTGTGGTCGCGAAAGCATCGTGAAAGGGCTCGCAAAAGCAAATCTGCGGTTCAGCTTTTTTACACAAGATGTTTTCTAGCACCGCTCATGTGTCATGTTCCTGCTCGGAGGACAATGCATCTCACTTCACCGCCGCCGGTGTCGCCTGAGCACAGCGATACCCTGCTGAGTTCGGATTGGCAGCGCCTCGGCGCTGAAGCCGGGAAACGCAATTGCTTTTAAATGATTATTAAGAATTGGAGGGGTCCCTCAAATATTGTGGGTGTGCTTTGGTTTTCCTTTAAACCACCAAAAAAGGGAACCCACAAAAAGACGCAGCACCCATTGGCTTGGAACTTGAACCCTTATTTTTGGGAAGAATTATTATTGGCGCAGGGTATTGGCTTGGATTTAGATTTTTTGGAGAAAATGTGTATTTTCCACGCCTGGAAACAGTTAAGCCAGGGGAGAATACCCCAACTGTTTCTGCTTTACCAACGCCACCCCAAATCGTAGGTGTAAGCAAATGACCCTCATTTCTGACTTTGACAGGCCCTGAAAAGGGTCAAAGCATTACGGCTGAGTCTTAGAGTCTATATGGGACCAAGATGACTTCCATGACTTCAAAGTCCGGATCTGTGGCGTCGTTGGACAAGCAGACGTGGCGCTTGAGATTTGAGTTGGCAGCTATTAAGGGTTGAAACGGTTGATCTGTTGTCAAAGCGTTGGTTAAATCGGGCTGTGGCACTTGTTAGTGTAGGCTCAGAATGATAATGTCGACCAGTTGGCCCCATATTAGTCAACCCCAGTGTATTTATAGGGGGATGTTCCCCTCCAAAAGTGATGATCCCCCACAAATAACTGTGGTTGATTAACACAGGGTCAACATTAAAAGGCTGGCTTTGAGGATTGGGGTGGTCAACACTTGCAAGTTCAAAGCCCTTGGGCAAGATGGTTCAACGCCTGGATAGGGACAGAGGAGCGGCATGGGATTAAGCTGTGACGCCTCCCGTAGCGAGCGGGCGAGAGTCGAGTTTTCGACAGCCCCCAAAAAGCCGCCTTGAAGTAAATGCCTGGCATTTCTGCACATGGAAGGGGGTAGGGTTAGACATCCTTGCATGCATTGTTCTGATGTTTGCAACGGCTTGGATAAAAGGAACCAGACCAGGCACACAAGGTTCCCAAGCCACTACCGTGTCGACTTATCACTAGGAAATGCATGCGGGCAAACAGGTAGGGGTTGCGTATTCCCAGACATTTCGCACGTAAGTGGTCTGCAGGATGCTCTTGGAGATTTGCTGGTTGTGCTGACATGCCGGTGTTCATTTTCAGCAGTCAGCACACTTAATGTGTTTTCAATCCGAGCAGCAACCCGTGTTTGCTCGCAACGCTATGGATCGCATTGCTTTGCTTGTTTGTTCTCGGTTGGGCACTGCTTGAAATCGGTTGCTTGTCATCGGAGGAGCCTGGAGATCGACGCCGCCTCGGATCTGCTATTTGAGCTTGGCTCGGTCAGCGCCAGCATCGACGCGTCGCCCCCCGACGCGCCATGACCAAAACTGGAATCCAGCCGGGTAGTCCTTGGGATGATGGGGATGGGGCTGCAACTTGCATCAAGCAGCGTTGGTGTGTTAGCGTGTGCCGGCCTGAGATGCCTGAGGTACTTCCAAAGCATGTCCAGCAGGCTACGAAGGATGTCCGTTCAGTCAGCCCCCTCACCAGAGTGCAGGGGGCTGACCGGTCACCTGCAGCGTTTTTGCCAAGTGACCCGAAAAAGCAAACAACCAGACCCGATGAGTTGATGTGGGAAGGCAAAGTTTCGGGGGCTGATTCAAGGCGAAAACAGTGTTGCTACGCGATACGCATCAATCAATGAAAACGACACATCAGGGCGAAGCGCCTTGAACTGCTATTGGAGCTTAGGAGCGCCTTGCTTTTGGCCGGCCACTCTCGACTGATCGTGGCACAGATCGTCCGTTTGGGTCAGTATGTCAGTCTAGCTGAGAATATAGATTGACTTCTGGTAGGATTGCCATGACAAGCACACAAACCTAGTTTGAAGGTAAATAGTTCCAAGGGAATCCCCGAGTCCTCCACCCATCTCCCCCAGTTCGATTGTCCAATTTTATTGTTTTCGGTTCCAAGGGCCTGCGCGCTGGTGAACTCAGGCCATGTCGCCGCGCCGGCGTCACATGAAACCTCCCTCGCAGACTGTGATGAGCTTAGAGACTTGGCTCCTTTTGTCGGATGTGGATTCCAGGTCAGGTACTGCTTAGTTGTTTGGACTCCTTGCTTGTTGGCTGGCAGTGGGGCGAGAGGGACACGAGGCTATCTGAATTCCAAGGTCATTGATTTTGCAGTATGAGTATGCATCTGTGTTCATTATTATGTAGACATCCTTTGGATTCGCGACTCGTCAGGTCCCCCAAGCTTTGGTAGGTTTCCGTGGCCGTTCCCAACCAGCACGCCTCGTGTTTTTATCCCTTGTGCGGGAATGTCGCCGGCTGACAAACCACCTGGCATTGAGGATTTTTGCTGGATGTCTGGCCTGTTGATGTTTTGGCTCTTCGTTTAGGTAGTTGGCTAGCTAGTTGGTTTGCTTGTTTCTTTGCGAACTGTTTGTTTAGCTTGTTTAATTGCTTGATTCCTTGCTTGTTTGCTTGTTTTGTATGTTCAATTGTTTGTGTGTTTGGTTGTTTGTATGTATGTTTGCTTGCTGGGTTGTATGCTTGGTTGTTTGTTTGTGTGTGTGTGTGGTTGTGGTTGTGATTGAGCTTGTCCGTGTGTTTGCTTTTCAGTTTGCCCGTCCGTTTTGGTGTTTGCGTGCTTGTGTGTGTGCGTGTGTTCTTACTTGTTTGTTCGTTTCTTGCAGCCTTTGTGTTTGTTTGTTTGCCAAACTTGCTTGCTTGCTTGTTTGTTTGTTTGTTTGTGTGATGTTTCCGTGTGTTTGCGTTTTGCGTGAGTAGTTGTTTGTGTTTGTTTTTATTATATTCATTATTTCTATGTTTGTTTGTCTTCTGTTCTTTGTTTTGTTCATATTCCATTATTGATTCATTTATTGCGTCTGGTTTGTGTTCCTTTGTCTTGCTTTGTGTTTTCCTTCCTTCCTTCCTTCCTTCCTTCCTTCCTTCCTTCCTTCCTTCCTTCCTTCCTTCCCTCCTTCCTTCCCTCCTTCCTTCCCACTGCTCTTTTGTGTTTTTCATTCGCAATTTTTTGGCTAATTTTATGCGGTCCCTGTGTCTCTTAGTGGCTCTCAGTGGCTCTTCGTGGCTTTTAGTGTCTTTGTTTGTTTGTTTCTTTCTTTGTTTGCTTGCTTGTCTGCTTGCTTCTGGTCGGGCTGCCATGTCAACACTCCTTGTTCGCAAGGGAACAGACGCGACCTGCAAGCATTGGTGCAATCGGGGCAAAAGTTGCACGTGGCCTTCCTATCCAATCCCATCAAATCAGCCGAGCCACACCGACCACACCAGACAACACCCGACCACACCCAACAACACCCGACAACATCCGACCACACCCGACCACACCCGACCACACCCAACCACACCCGACCACACCCGACCATACCCGACAACACCCGACCACACCCGACAACACTCGACAACACGTGACAACGCCCGACCACACCCGACCACCCGACAACACCCAACCACACCCAACAACACCCAACCTCACCCGACAACACCCGACAACACCCAACCACACCCGTCCAGACCAGACAACACCCAACAACACCCGACCACGCCCGACAACACCAGACAACACCCGACAACACCCGACCACACCCGACCACACCTGACAACACCCGACCGCACCCGACGACACCGACCACACCCGACAACACCACACCCGACCACACCCGACCACACCCGACACCACACCCGACACCACACCCGACAACACCCGGCAACACCCGACAACACCCGACAACACTCGACAACACACTTTCAAAAACTTCCCCTCACTTTCCGTCTAATTGGCTGGTTTGGATTGGTGGTTTGGTGGTCGGGGGCGGCTACAAGAACCAGGGGTTCAAATCCCCAAACCACTCCAAACCATCAGTTAGGGGGTTACCCGACCACACCCGACGACACCCGACCACACCCGTCCACACCCGACAACACCCCACAACACCCGACCACACCCGACCACGCCCAACCATTAACACCCGACCACACCCGACCACACCCGACAACACCCGGCAAAACCCGACCGCCCCCGACAACACCCGACCGCACCCGACAACACCCGACAACACCCGACCACACCCGCAACACCCGACGACACCCGACGACGCCCGACAACACCCGACCACGCCCGACAACACCCAACCGCACCCGACGACACCCGACGACACCCAACCACACCCGACAACGCCCGACAACACCCGACCACACTCGACCACACCCGACCACACCCGACCACACCCGACCACACCAGACCAAACCCGAACACACCCGTCCACACTTGTCCACACCCGACAACACCCGACCGCACCCGACAACACCCGACATCACCCGACAACACCCGACAACACCCGACCACACCCGACAACACCCGACCACACCCCACAACACCCGTCCACACTTGTCCACACCCGACAACACCCGACTGCACCCGACAACGCCCGACATCACCCGACAACACCCGACGTCGCCCGACCACACCTGACAACACCCGACTGCGCCCGACGACTCCCGACCACACCCGACCACACCCCACAACACGCGACCACACCCGTCCACACCCGACAAACACCCGACCGCACCCGACAACACCCGACATCACCCGACAACACCCGACCACACCCGACGACACCTGACAACACCCGACCGCACCCGACGACATCCTACGACACCGGACAACACCCGACCGCACCCGACGACTCCCGACCACACCCGACAGCACCCGACCACACCCGTCCACACCCGGCAACGCCCGACCGCACACGACAGCACCCGACATCACCCGACACCACCCGACCACACCCGACCACACCTGACAACGCCCGACCGCACCCGACGACACCTGACAACCCCTTTTTTTTTTTCAGCCAGTGCTTTTCACGTTGACCCATCCTTGTTCACCCGGCACTCGGGCCTAGTTTCGGCAGGGCAGCATCATGGAGTCCGTGGAGGAGTCCCTCGAGAGCCTGGCGCGGAGTACGCCCAGCCAGAAGGAGTCGGAGTCAGGCAGTCGCATCAGATGCCTCAGAGTCCCAAAAACGGCCTTGTCGGTTGTACGAACGGCACGCTAGGCTCCTGATAAATAGATGCCAAACCATGTCTGGTTGCTGCTTGGCATGCACTGGTGCTTGTTTCAGAGGAAATCATAGACACCCTCTTTCCAGCAGTCCAGGATTTGGACAGGAAACCGTAGGATGGTCCAACACCCTTCTGCGACCTGCGTTCATTGCCACTCGAAGGCAGCGTGCAGCCGCGGCGAAAGATGCGTAGCGCGGCGCCGTTGTTCGAGGTGGACTTTACAAAGGACTTGGCACCTTTGCAGTTCAGTGGATTCCGAAATCCAACTTTGTTAGAAGCCAGCCACAAGAAATTCTACAGGGCATGTGAAAAATACCGAGCTGGTTTGATGTGCTTGTCGGTTCACAATGGCGGGCACAATTCTTCCTGCTCCAGATTCCCTAGGATGTGCTGAATGCAAGGGAAACAGTTCAAAATTGGCGGGCTGGATAGGCATGCGAGGTTTCCAAGCACATGGGAGATTGCCAAGCACCAGCCAGTTAACCCAAATAGGTGTTCCTTTGGTTTCATGAACAATGATACATATGAGTGGCTCGTTTTTTTAGGACCCCCTAAATGGTGGTTTTTGCTTTGGTCTCCCTTTTAAACCCACAAAAAAGGGTACCCTCAAAAAAAGACATGATTGTGCTGCGGAAATTTATGTAGAGAGGTATCTAGGGCGGATTCGGGGGTTGGCATCGGAGCAACACTGAAAAGGAGTAGCCTCACATTTCCCCTCTTGGATCTTCCCCTTCGATGATTTGTTTGGAGATCCCCCATCTTCTCCATAGCTTTTTGGTGATGCCGCTCGCCGCGGGTTGATGCGGAAAAGCGGAAACATGGTTGGTGGATTACAGTAGTTTGAGGTCCCTGCAGGAAAACTGTGGCCCGCAGGAAGCATACATTTGCCCCAGCGTTAATTTCGTTTCCGCGCTTTCACGGGCTCAAGTGTCTCCACCCTTCGCCTCCTTCGCCTCAGCCGAGGCCGTGCATGCTGACTTGCTTTTAAGGAAGCACCGACCGCTTGACGTGGAGATGCTCAAGAGCTTCGAGTGAGAGCTTCAGAACCGACTGGCTCCGTTGGAACACCAGTTGACGAGCTGGGCTGCCCAATGGGCGTGTGCTTTACATACTTTTTGATCTTATTGCCGGGGTGCATCCCCTGCGTCACGCGAAGGCATGGAAGCATGTATGTGCTGAATTTAGACATAACCTTAGTTCTTTCTTCCGATTTTGGCATGCTTACTCTGAGGAGCCTCCGTCTTCCAGGTCTTGAATTGCAACTTCCAGTCCTGGGCCTTTAATGTATCCTTATCAAGTACGTTGTCAACATGCTCATTCTGCAGGTGGTGTCCGCATCCTGGGTTTGGGGAGCCTTTCCCACGAACCTTTGTCTCAAAGCAGTTGGTTATCATCTGATTCTGCAGGCTTGTTCCACCGCATTCCCCCCCCCATTTGTCACACTTGTTCGACATGTACCAGAGCATTCAAGGGCTCACCAGCTGTTTTGCTTTAGGGGTTTTACGATCAGGCTTCAAGCCTTCAGAAGAAGGATCTTCCATGCTACCTGACTACCATATTGCAAGTGCAAAACCAACAAAGGGGTTTCCGTCAAAAGCACGTCAACCGTGCCTTGCTTTGGGTGAGGTGTTTGGGGGAAGCTTCCAAGGCTCAACGCTGAGAAACCTATTTGCAGGGACCCCCTAGCAAGCAGCCTCCCTTCTCGGTCGGGAACACCTTTTGAGAGGAATCGCTTCGGGAATCTGACCTGTTCATGTTCTCACCATGCGACATGCCTGACGCTTGCAAGTCTCCTCCACCAAGGGGCCACGGGTCCGGCAGACGGCGAAACATCCCGGCAGTTTTTGGGGCTGTTACGTTTGTATCCCATCCATGCTTAGAGTTTGGCGAGCCATGGGTGCACATGTGTCATGGGGACATGTCTGCCATTCTGGCTCAAGAGATGAGCGCCTGGCCGACTTCCAAAGTCCCCACCCGCCTCCAGGCAATGCTTCCGCTCCAAGAAAGATGCCCGCAGCCGCAAATGCTGACCCAAAGTCCCAGGCGGCAGATGGCAAATGATGGCAAGCTCCGCAGAGCCAGCGCAAGGGAGGGAACTCTTGAACGCCAAGCCCACTGCCCCAGCGCTTTTGCCTTATTGGCCCCGGGAGCTCCAAAGACAGCTCGCGCCAGCAATCCCTTGACAGAGCCTATGACAGACAGGAGCTGACAGCCGTGACAGTCCGAAGCCCCTGGACAAGACCCCTGTCAGCGGCCAAAGACAGCGCTGGTGGACCGACCAAGACAGCTGTGACAGGCCGAACAAAGCCTGAGCAGGCAGTTCACGCCACTGATGTGACATTATTCGCATGTTACACAATCCTTTTCCCAACAGCTCACTGCATATCTTGATTGTAGTATCTAGGCAGTAGGCGGGCACTCAAAGCTGGTGGCTTGGCTGCTTGTCTACCAGGAACAGATTAAATTTGTGGCTAGCACAAGAACTCGCAAGAACAGGCGCGCTCGGTTGAGGGCCAAGCATCAGCCAGCGTGCTTGAGGCCCCTTTCCTTTGGTGCCTGTGTCTGTGTGGTTGCAGTCTAGCTTAGCCAATCAAGTCTCTTGGGTGGGGAGTGAATTGCTCAATCAAATGCCGGAGAGATTTAATTACTCGCCGGATCTGTTGGCTCCTTAGGCTGAAGGCACACTCAAAGGCCTACAGCTAAACATCAAAGGCTTCGCTTGCATGCCGCTGGCCCTAGGAATGCGGCGCGTGTCATCACCACTTCGCACGCGCGGTTTGCGCGACTCTGGTCGAACAGCCCGGAGGGGTGTGCGGAAGCCTTGGCAGTCGGAGAGCTCAGACGAGCTGTCCCATGGTCCCTTGAATGTTCCGCATTGGAAGCATTGTTTTTGAGACAATTAGCTGGGGCACACTCAAGGTTTAACGCGCGATTGCGTGAGGGGAGAGGATTCAGGACATCAGTCCACCCAGCGCCAAAGCCTGGGATGAAATATCAGTTGGCTCCTTTGGCGAACCGCCAAAGCTGCACAGAGTTTTTCCCCGCCTTTGGCAGGCCCCGCCCGTTTATCAAACCAGTTGATTTCTCCCCTGCTCGACATGGAGCACCAAAAGTGCTAACCTCCAATTCTTTGACAGCCATGGCGCCTGCCGGGGCACTTTGGAAAATGTTTGGGCGTATGACGCTAAACTTTCTGGGTAAACCCTTTCTGGGTATTCTAAAGGAACGACCCACAGCCTCTTGCAGGCATGCTGTAGCACGGCATGCAGAAAAGTGCTGCGACTGGCTTCCAGCGCCATCGCAGGTAGCAAGGCTGAATGGTCTGGCACTTTTTGCTATGTGGAAGGCTCGTGCCCCAAATGGGTGTCGCAAAATACGAGCCCCCCTGTTGGGGCAAAAAGCAACCGGTCCTTCAGGTTTGACACACCTATAGATTGTATGTGGATTCCGTTGTATCAACCTATTAGGCTCACCTCGGCCTTTTGGCTTCCCTGCAAGGGGGCGACTCATGTAGAAAGACCCTCGTCCAGGTAAACCTGAAGAATTGGAACCCGCCGGTTGTTTGACGCTTCCGGGACCCCCAAGCCGGGTGCTTTTTTGCACAAAGTCGCCATGTGTTGTTGGATTCTGGCGGTATTTTAACAGTCCCAGGTTGAAGTGCGACATTGGCCTTTCTGAGCAAATCCAGGCGCTCATTCGCGACGGCTATTGCAATAGCTGCATCTTTTGTGGAAACTGATGTCTCGGAGGTTTGGAGCAGCAGCGACGGGGGGGCAAAGCGCAAAAGTTGGTTGTATTTCTCCGATGTATTTCTCCGTGAGGGAGGTTCTATTTGATTAGCGCTGACGTGAGGCGCTTTCAATTCGCACCTCCGACCTGCAGCCCGAGCTAGCAAGCAGCCCGCTGCGTCTTGATAGAGTACTTCACCCAGCCCGCATCTGCGTGTTCCGCAAGTTTCGTAAGACAACTTCGGCCACACCGTCGTGCAACAAAACAGTTGTTCCGCGCTCTCGAAACGCAATGGCTCCGCTGCTGGACATCAGCCGGGAGAACCGCGAGAACGAGGGCCCCACGGTTGTAAAGCCAGCGCTGTGTCATTCAGCTGGGCATGGGCAGTTGGCTTGGTTTCTGCGAACGGTTGTCTTGTGTGTTTGGTTGTGTGTAATTTGGCTTGGCTTTGTGCAAGTTGGTTTTGTTTTTTGTTGCTGTTTGCTTGCTTGTTTGCTTGCTTGATTGTTTGTTTGGTTTGGCTGGTTGTTTGATTGGGTTGCTTGTTTTTCTTTTTGTTTGTTTGATTGTTTGTTGGCTTGTTTGTTTGTTTGTTTGTTTGCTTGCTTGTTTGTTTGTTTGTTTGTTTGTTTAGCGTTTTGCTTATGTGTTGGTTGCTTGCTTGCTTGGTTGCTTGCTTGTTGGTTGGTGCTGCTGGTTTCTTTGTGTATTTGTTTGTTTGATTGTTTGTTTGTTTACCTGTGATTGACTGATTGTTTAGCTAGTTGGTTAGCTAGCCACCTACCGTGAGTTAGTTAGTTAGTTAGTTGGTTGGTTGGTTGGTTGGTTGGTTGGTTAGTTGGTTATTTACTTAGATACTTGGCTATATATATGATAGATACATAGATAGATAGATGTTGTTAGTTAATTGTTAGTTTGCAAAGTGTCAGAGAGGATCGCAGTGTGACATTTTTGCACTAGCCGCTGTTTTTTGTAGCAGTGCATGCAGCAGCATCACAATTGAGCAAGTGGATCTTGACGCTTGTTCCTCAGGGGCTTTCGACCTCTTGCCTGTGATTACGTCAAGCCCAACCTGCGAGGTGGTTCCTAGCAATGGCCCACGACATGAATCTAACGGGCAGCCGTCCTCGTTTCGCATCAAAGAAGGGCAGTTCACGCATTCGTGAGTAACCTGTCACAGACATGCAACTGGGGCGCACCGTTTGTTTGCATTTCATTTCAGGACGATGGTTCAACATGTTTGTGCTTGCAGAACTCAGGTAACCCTCAATTGTTGTTTCGGTGTTGTTTGCTTGCTTGTTTGATTGTTTGTTTTGTTGCTTGTGTGTTTGCTTGTTTGTTTGTTTGTTTGTTTGTTTGTTTGTTTGTTTGTTTGTGTGTTGCTTGCTTGCTTGCTTGCTTGCTTGCTTGCTTGCTTGCTTGCGTGCTTGCTTGCTTGCTTGCTTGCTTGCTTGCTTGCTTGCTTGCTTGCTTGCTTGCTTGCTTGCTTGCTTGGTTATGTGCTTGTTTGGTTGTTGTTTTGTTGGCTTGTTTGTTTGTTTGTTTGTTTGCTTGCTTGCTTGCTTGCTTGCTTGCTTGCTTGTTGTTTGCTTCCTTGTTTTGTTCTCTGCTTGTTTGCTCGCTTGTTTGCTTGTTTGATTTTGTTGTTGTTGTTGTTGTTGTTCTGTTGGGTTGGCTGGCTGGCTGGCTGGCTGGCTGGCTAGTTGGTATTTTGTTGGTTTGTTTGCTTGCTCGCTTGCTCGCTTTCTTGCTTGCGGGCCTGCTTGGCCCGCGGCAGGGATGCGGAAGGATGCGCGGAAGCTCGAAGTATGTCCAATCAAGTTTAAGAGTGACAAGGACCAACGCTCGCTTGTTTTGTGCGAGGGCACCTAGACACCAAGAGGTATGACCTCCCCAAGTCAGCTGAGGACCGGGCAGCGCCAACCTCCCCGGCACCCCGAAGAGCACGGGCACGTGCGACCGCGAGGTCCGTGAGGTCCGGTCGCGGCTCAGCCGAGTGCGGAGCTCTATACTGGAGATGCCCCCGGAGGACGGAAGCATTTGGGTTGTTTGGAGTACAAAAACGATAACAATATGTGCATGTGTTAGGGGAAGGGATTGCTGGTGCCAAAATGTGGTCGTGTTGCTTTTTGAGCTAGTGCCGTTTTAGGGTGTGAAGAAAAAAACCAAAGAAAACCATCAACACGGTTCCGATCCCCATTCTCAGACAAAGGTATCTTGGGAAAACGCCGGGCCCTGTTTAAATGCTTTGGGTTATTTTGGTGTTTTTTGCGGCAAAAGGCGGACCCGTCCCAGGGCGCTGCAGCGTTTCGGTCCTAGTTTCTAGTTCTTTGGTCGTGCTACACGGCCAGAAGGAAACATGTTTGGTTTGGCAGGTTGCCTGACAGGACCAAAATGATTTGGCGAGGTTTCGTATCTATGACCAACATGAGCCCAAGCTGGACCAATATGATTTAGAAGCTACGACCAAAATGAGGGGCGGGCTAAACCGTCCAAAATGGCCCGACTAAGACTCTCTGGCTGCCCTTTTTCCCATGTTCAAAGCACCATGGCCAAAAAGGCAGTCGGGGGGTCCTTTTGAATTTATATTTTGTTGTTGGCCTTTGTGTTGGCTGTTTTTTAGCAAGGCCACAATGGCTTTTGAGGGCACTTGCGCATGTCCCTTGTAAAAGTGTGTTTTCCCCTTGGCCCTTTAAACCAACCTAGAAAAGTGTTCCCACAAAAAGAAAGGACACCCATGTCAGAGTCCAGGGGTTGGCTCGCTGACCCTTTGGTTGGGTCCAGGAGCGGCTTCGTGTGCTGGGCGAGCCGGAGCGCTTAGGCCGACTGCCGCGGCAGATGCGGCAGACCAGCCTAGGACCGCCCCAGCGGCTGCGTGCGCAGACGGTGGGGCCCAAAGGCCGAGCGGATTCGGGCAGGGAGGCGATGTAAGTCGGTGCAGCGTCCAGCCCTTCCCAGGCAACTTGAGGACATGACGTCATGACGTAAATTCCTCGTTTGCAAACGATAACTACTGTTCATCATGTTGCGGCTGCGAGGCTGCGAGCGAGCGAAGCTCCACGTGTCAAGCAAGCCATTCACAACAAACGGCTAACGGCTCATGCATACCCCCCACCACATGCTTTTTATGCTTTGGTGCTAAAAAACTGTAGACCCAAATCATCAATGTCAGAAAGTGCCGGTCAAACGTGTTTGGGTCGCTAAGAAAAACTAGGCAGGTGAGCTCACGTATCCCTGCTGTTCAAAATCATGGCTTTGCGATTGTTCTCAGGATGAGGAGTCTGATTTTGGCTGGCGGTAGCGCGAAGCACTCTGAAGGCGCATCGTGTTTTGCTTTTTGGCCTCAACCTGAACCTGACACGAGTCTCCGCCGTCCATTTCCTACAGCACGCTCTTCTCCCCCAACGTCATGTTCTGCCCAAAATGGCATTGTCTTTTGTTCAAGTCGTTGCCCGCTCTTTGACTGAGAGATGAATGTTAACCTTGCCTTCTGTGGGCCGGTCCTTTTGCTTCCAGAAGGTAAGTGCTGTGGAGACCCCAGCCACATCAATCACCCAGAAGGCCTTTGTCAACTTGAGTTCCAGAGCATGTGTAGCTGGTTGGTGCTGATTTTGCATTCCCCGATTGCGAGGCGCGCAGGCGCGAGCGCAGACGCCGCGGCGCGATGATCGCAAAGGCCAGGGGAAGGGCAAAGCCTTGCCGCGGTGGCGGATCTGAGAGGCTCGCGCAAACATTCGCCGGTGCAGGGGGGTTAGCCAAGGGGTCAGTAACACCCCGCAGTCAACCCCCAGTGAATTGTGCAATTTGTAATGAAGGCCAGTTCCTGCAAACTCAGGTCGCCAGCCAGTGAGCTAAACCCCAGACCGTGGAGAATGAATGTCCCTAGTTCCCAGTGCCGCTCTTCAGCAGACGCCGCCTAGGCAAGCAAGGGTTTTCCGGTCCAGTCTGTAGGTGTCGGGACAGACGGGAACCGGAGAAGCTGCCTCCCTCAGGTTTGCCTGCAAACAGATGAAGCAACAGTGTTGCCAGGCTGATGGGCTGAACCTCCCACTGTGAACAGATGAAATACGACCATGAAGCATGAGGAAGGCGTACGCATGGCGTACGCAAGGCGCCATGCTTTGCATGAACGAAACTGGCATGCAAGACCAAAGCCAGCTCACCCGCCACGTCCCACTGCGAGGGGTCTGTAGAGTCGTCATCCCGACGTTGGGCCATGCCCTCCAAGGGACCTCTTCCGTGGGAGTGGTGACGCGGCATTTGAGCTGAAGCCCCAAGCTTGAGGCCACGTGCCGCGGCAAGCGGTTCTCAGCACGGCGGTCCTTTTTCAGATTTGTTCGAAAACCAATGGCACTGGCTTCAGCTTTGTTCTAATGGTTTACCAGTGCCATCAATTTGTCCAGCAGGACAACTATATAACGTTAACTCGTGAGATTTCCTTGCAACAACGTGAAGATTCGCCCTTCAGAGTGGCCTTGCCGCACACTGTGGTTTCGAGCCGCGGCAACTCAGAAGCAACATGTCCAGTGGCAAAGGAGCAGCTAGCGACGTGCGTAATTCGCTTTGCAACTTGCAGCATGTCCACCCCCCCCACGTGAGAGTCGCGGTTGAAGAGGCCATGAGTGGTCCCAAGACTTTGCGTCGGCGAAAGGATGATCATAACCCCCCACAAACTCCTAGGCACTGTGTTTTCGCGATGCTCAGCATGGGCTGTCATGGAGGTGCCTGATCTCTCGAGCTTCTCCTTGCTGACGGTCTGCGAATCTGTCAGGAGAAGCACAAATTCAGAGAGAAACAACAACAGACAATGTGACTAGACCCGCATCGCTGCGGCACTGGCACGACAGGGGGTGGACGCCCAGGCCATGACTGCTATGGCCCTAATTTGCTTGCAAGCCCAGGGAGGGACGGATCGGATGGTGGTTGTAGCTCCCCGGTGAATTGCCAAAATTTGCCAAAAGGGAATCTTAACCACATGCTCCTTCCCTGGGGCTTGCGCGGCTTCGCAGGCCGAAGGTCTGGCCGCGAGGGAGAAAAAGGGCCGGGCGGCCGCTTCCTTCGAGCTAAGTCAACCCATGGCCCAAACGGTGTTGCAACAACCCGAAAAGGGAAACATAAGGCATTCGAATACGGATGTCTGAGCAGTCATTTCCACCGGATGATGGCACATTACCTCAGCCACGACCACATGAAAGTTACTTGCGCCTTGATCGCAAAGACTTGATCAGGCTAACGTTGGCGTTGGTCCTGGATGACTCGACCCATCCAAACTGATCCGGGACCCTTTGAGTCAAAATAGTTCAAGACTTGGTTCAACGAGCCAACCTTTCATGATACGAAAATTTCAATGCCTGGAAGTGAAGAGGGGGCCGTTTTCGGCTGACAATCGTCCAACACTGCCCCATTGAAAAGAGTCTTGTTTGCCCTGACACAGCGGAGCTCCTTCGACTCTCATGCTGTGTTTCGCGCCAGGCGATGGGCTTGAAGCCGCGTGCCTCGGCCCAGCAATTCGCGCCAGGCCTTTTGGTGAGTCCCTAGGAAACGCGTAACGCGTCGCCCACAGTGATCCTAGTCGCCCACTAAAATGGGACATCCCCGTAAACAAATCAACCCGGGGTGTCTTGATCCGGGGCGAACTTGATTTGTTGGGTTCACCAAAAAGGTCCAGTCGCAGAGGGAGCTTTCCACTCAAGGCTTTGGAGCAAATGCACGCATACGCAGATTCAAGCTTCAACAGCAGCAACTGCTGTGAACCATTTGCCGCAAGAGTCTTCACGACCAGAGCTGAATGACTTGGTGGCGTTATCTCGTATGCATCTTACGTGCAGATGGCTTAACAGGAAGCAAATCATGGCGGCTGCGCATGTATACACATTCTTGCAATTGCAAAGCCTGACCAAACATGTTATGGCATGTTCTTTCGAACTTCCACCACCACCACCACCACCACCACCCCCACCACCCCCACCACCCCCACCACCCCCACCACCCCCACCACCCCGACCGCCACCCCAAGAAACAGCCCTTCCTAGCACACTTTGCAAGACAAGAACGTGGGGGCATGTTTTCTCAGTTGAGTTGGGTATGAGGCTGAACTTGTTTTTGAGCCCGCGCCTGACGGAGGTGTTGCGCAGCTACTGCAAGCCCTGGACGACCTGCCGCGGCCGGGGCCCTGGCACAAAACTTCAATTGGAATACGGTAGTCTATAAACCCCTTTGAGGGGCGGCGTCAAGTCTTTAATCGAAATGCATGCCGAGAGCCCAGCATGGGCCCTATCCGAGGGTGTGAAAACTTATCACAAGGATGGGGAGAACCAACAGGATGGGACCAACAAACGTGGCCACAGCCACAGGGTTCCCGAGGAAAAGGAGCATGACATAGCCATGTTTGCAACAAAGAGCTCAAACCAACAGCTGATTGTGAAGATCCCATTTTGCATTGTTGCTTCCCGCGCAGGCTTAAGGCTGTTGTGCTCTTAGTGTGTCTCAGGGAAGTCGGGACGCCCCGCTGGACAACCCCGGCATGAGTGGCCCTCCGCCTTTGTGTTTAAAGAACATGTGAGCACTTACAAGCCGAACCTGAGCTTTCTCCCAACCCCGCCAAGATTTCGGAGAAGTTTCGGAGGTGGCAGAAGATCGCGGGCCTCTCTCTGGCAGCAGCTCTTGCAGCGCTTCTGTCTCAAGGCGTCCAAACGGAGGCTCCTTGGCCAACCTCCCGGCTTGCGTGGGACCACCTGGCTGGCAAACAAGTGGGTTCGCGCAGATTTCTCGGCGTAGCTCAAACTCGCCACAGGAAGGACTGTGGATGGCCTTGGCCAACCGGAGTTCTCGCGAAATTCCAGCGGAGGTTTGATGTTTGACGTTTGTCACTCCAAAGGTTGGCTTGGTGAGATACTTCGCCCAAATGATTTGTAAGGTCGCCCTCGAGAGATGCTTGTGTACCGTACCTCAGACCCAAGATGGTGGAAGCCTTGAATAGGGGCCTTGAGCAAACAAGGAGTTCCTCGTGATTTTTATCCCAAGAGTTAAGCAAGGGCATCGGAGTCCACCTGAAGGAGCTCGCTTCCATACCTGCCCTTAAACATATTTTGAAATCAGTCTGAATCAGTGCCTTTGTTATGGACAACACTCATAAAACATGCATTTTGGTTGGGACGCTGAAGCTGAGGTAGTAGGAAACCGGGCTAGCGTTGTTCCAAGCGTGTGCCCCTTAATTACGAATCTGTGACCTCAGCGCAGGCCGAGGCGGGTCGCTTCTTCCAAGTGGTCGACCCGGACAAGGGCATCAAACTCCGAGCCGCACCCTGCCTGGAGGCGG